GTTAGCTTCAGCCATTAATAGCAATAAAATAAATTAATACCGCTTTGGCAGTTAGCTAAAATCCCAAAATTTTGAGATTCAAACCTTCTTCGTCTTGAAGTTATGAAAATTCGTCCAAACAGACCGATGGACCATTACCCCAGTATGTGGGAGTACAAAAGTAATATCACTAACATGGGATTCCGACCATCATAATCTATTCAGGAAATATCTGTGGTCTCCCTGTTTTCATTAATAGTAGCTTGTGAGTCCATCGTGGAGTTTTCAGGAGCAGTTCTAAACACTACTATGCAAGTGTTCAATAAAGTGGGAGCAGCAGAACTTCGAATCCAGCCTCAATTATTTGCCCCGGATTATTTCGTGAATAGACTCCGCAAAATACAGGGCGCCCACTCGTTTGTCAAAAACGCAAGCGTGCTCTGTTCATTAAGGATGACATCTCGTAGTCACAAGACGTCATCCTTGATGAACAGAGACCGCTCAGGCTGGAACGCACGAGGCTTGCCGGTGCGATCATGCGTTTTTGCACCAAGCTCACAGGTCGCTAATAGCAGAAATGATTCCTGCGCTGTAGCGTGGACTAATACTGGCCGTACTTTGGCCCTTTCCGGCTTGCAGGAGGAAGCGTGTCGGTTGGGTGAAGGTGATGCATTGTAGAGCCGCACGGACCTATAAGTATACGATTACCAGTTTCTTGCATGGAGCTCAGTCGTTTTTTCATTAAATGCTCGCTTTTTGAAACCCAGGCTAGAACGCACCAGGCGAGCCGGTGCGATGATGCGTTTTTGCATCAAACTTTGAAGTACCGTCTCTCGTGTTGGAGAGGGAAGTAGGAAACAAGGGGATTCCACATTGTGCCACCATTCAGCTGAGGACGGGGATTGATCATTGTGCGAGTCGACGAATTAATGGCCCATCGCTATTCCGCACATTGACCGAGACAACTTCAACTTCCAAGCTTTCGCATTTCTTGTGATGTGAACTGGCACACCTCTCATTTCCAACTACCACTGCATTTCGCTGTTCCTCTCCCCTCTTCCCT